ATTTAAGTTCGAGGTTCACCTAGGATATAGAAGAAATTCACAATCTGTCTAGTTAACTTAGCAATGCTCTTTCTCAATAATCAAAAATAAACAATAACTAAAAATTGCTGAGGATATAGCCCAGTGTTTATAACATATAGGGGGCCCAGTGTTCAATTTGCAGTACTGCTAAAAGTGAATTAAACCAAAATTGACAGTAAATAGAAAGTGAGATGGAAGAGGTAAACTTATGGAACAGTTAGCTTTCAATATCGTGTTCTGTAGAAAACACTAGAGCTCTGCTCTAGGTCAATATGGTACTGTGACAGTGATAGAGAAAGAAGATAATTTAATAAAACAGTATGAAAATGAGCATTTGAATTTTTATCATGTAATTCCATGTAAGAACAAGGGATATTTGTCATGTAAATGTTGCTGTCATTTGTGCACATTTCAAATGAGAAAAAAAAATCTTCCAGAAGAGTCTGTAGACTCTAAAAGTCATTCATTAAACCAACTTGGAAGGGACTAGAGAGATGACTCAGTAGTTAAGAGCACAGGCTGTTCTTCCAGAGGCCTGGTGTTGATTCTCAGCACCTACATGGAAGCTTACAACCTTTGGTAACTCTAGTTCTAGGAGATCCAATACACTTTTGTGGACTCTGCAGGCACTTCGCACAAGTAGTGCACAAATATATGTGTAGACAAACACACCCCCACAAATAAAAAATAAAATTGAATGAATTATTTTATTAATTGGAAGGTTAAATTCACCAATTAATAAAGATCTTTGTATGATTGAAAGGTTGATATGAAAATTACCAAGATTAATATTCATAATCAATACTGTTTCACAAATAGCATTTCATATCTATGAGAATCTTGTTTTTCATGCAAGCCTTTGAAACTACAAAAAAATCAATGTAAAATATACTCTCAAATTCACATATTACAGAATATTAATAAGATAACTTTCAAAATTTTGAATATCATTTGTTCCTGATTTTTACCTCTAAAATGTTATCATTGCTAAAAGGTTTTGTAATGTTGGTAAACCAAATGATAAAATTGTCCTCATACAGCCCTCTTTGACTGTTGCTGTGGAATAATCCTTTTGTGAAGGATTTGTTTCTATGATTGGTTTAGTAAACAAGCTGACAGGCCAATAGCTGTCAGGATAAAGTAAGGTGGGAAACCAAACTGAGAATGATGGGATGAAGAAGGGTAGAGTCAGAGGAGTTGCCAGCTAGACACCGAGGGAGCAGGAGATGAATATGCCATGTTAACAGACACTGCCATGTGGACGAATGTAAATAGCAAGTATGGATTAATTTAAAATGTAAGAGCTAGTTAGTAATAAGGCTAAGCTATTGACTGAGCATTTATAACTAGTATAAGCCTCAGTGTGTTTATTTAAGAGTGGCTACAGGACAAGAAAACTCTGCCTACAGCCTATCCCTGAATATGTTAAGATATAAATAAGTCATTAATAAAGTTGTACATGTTTACATGACATATAAACATGTATATGAGCACCTAAGTATATTTATAACTTTTATTTTTAGGACTAAATGTTTACAAAGGTAAAAAATACTTGGACTCTCAAGCTGCAGATGAGAAGTGCAGACTCTAGGTCAGGACATGCATGGCTGTTCTCTTCCTACATGGGAATCTGCCTCTGTTCAGCTGAGCTTAAGACACAGTGGCCCATAAGGCCATGTGCCCATGTCCTCTCCATCAGATATCTTCTTCAATCTTTTGATTGCTTTCCAGAGAAGAATCAGACACTGGACTTCAGACTTATCCTTAGAGAGTTTGGATTAGCTAAAATGGAGCAGGTCTAGTGGTGACTTTTGAGTACAAATATGAATTCCTCTCTGACTGTTAATCCGGTGTTTCCCTGTAGTTTGAAGTCAGATTCCTTGGGAGCAGCTGAAGTGGATACTGCCTCTGCACACAAGTAATTAACTTCAGAAAAGCCCCATGAGAATCTGGGGAGAGGAGATGACAAAGCAGGATACAGGAGCAGAATGAAGTACACCGTCACGTGACATTGGGCAGACCTGCAGGAATAACCTGACGGTTAAGGAGCTTGGCAGCATCCTCAGGCCTCAAGCCTCAGGCAATCCCTGTCAGGGAAGTGCCTTCCTACTTCTGTACCCTCAGGCAGGGCTACTGGCCACTCTTGGTACCACGGGCTCTGAGCGCTGGGCTTCAGAAAGCTGATGGCAAACCTTGTGGGGAGCTGCAGGTAAGTTCTCAGAGCAAAGCGGAGCAGAGGCACACAGGTTGTTAGAGTTGTACCGGGAGACACAGTGGGACTCAGGCACATTTTATCACTTGCTGTATAAACTGGAAAACTAAGACTCTGCTGCATCACTGCTGCTGCCAGTATGTCCCCAGTACAGAGCTGGTTTGGCTCCTCCATGCCATCTCAATTGAGTCCACACTGTTATAGTGAGAGGAATGGTGACCAGGCACCATCAGCCCACCTCATGCCTTGTTATAGAGCTGAAACACTAAGATTTATGTTTAGTACCTGCACGCGAGTAAATTCTCTAGATGATACAAATGCATTTTCAACATCGAAACTGCATGTAGCAGCCAGGTGTGGTGCTTCATACCCGTCATCCCAATATTCAGGAAGTACAGGCAGGAAGATCAACAGTTCAAACCAGTGGGCTACAAAAGCAGAGCCCATGCCCCATAAAGACAAGAGCTGGGACTTGAGCTTAGTAGGAAAGAAGTACTTCCCTAGCTTGTACAATGCCCTGGGGTTCATCCTTAGCATTGGAAAAAATATTTACCATATTAAATTAAAAAAATCTAAAGTGCATAATATCCTTATCTGCCCAAAGATTTCTTGTTAAAATCAATACTTTGTAGCAATTTGAGACCATCACTGCAAATATCAAGTGCTACTGAGTATTATCCTTTGGTGATACACTAAGAACTTATTAAGATGCTAAAAGATACTTGATATTCATAGTCTTTTTGCTGTTCATGTTCATCCTTGAAGTATTTTCTACCATTTCCCAACACCTCTGCAGCCTACATCCTCAGCATGTACTGTTGCTGGTGTCCCCTTTTCTGTAACTAATAGTCCTACAATGTTTAAGTGCATATGCCACAAAATAAAGGATAAACTAGTATCTTAGTTCTGTGCTTGAAGTTGAGGCTAATACCCTTTTACTATTAAAAACATTCCTTTGAAAATGTTATTGCCCATGGAGGTTGCAAATACTTGAGTATAATGAAGTCAAGTAGACAGAAGGAGCTTGCCTGGTGTACAGAATGTGCTTCCTGGCCCATGCTCAATTGTTGGGGGAAATCTGCTGTGTGAAAAGGGTGGATATAGAATGGGAGAGGACTGTGGGTTGAATGGTAGGTAGGTAGAGTCCTGGCAGAAGCCAAGAGATCATTTGTGACACAGTCAGGAGAGGTTTGTCTAGGCTGAGATACTGGGTGTGGGACCCTGGTTAGATATGTTTGTTTGGGGAGAAAGTGTGGATGGGAAGGTCAGGAAGACTAAAGGCAAAACCCTGAAGAAGAAGGTGGGAAATATCACTGGGTAAAGAGGGTGGATGCAGCACAGAGGGGGCCTGGAAATGGTGGTGAGTCATGAATAATTTTTGATGTGTTTTTTAAATTCATATTACAAGTGTTATATGAGAATTTTTGCTTCAGCGTTCATCAGAAATATTAGCCTATACTCTTCTTTTGTTGGTGATGAATCTTTGTCTAGTTTTGTTATTAGTAAAATATTGATTTCATAAGGCAAATTGGTAGAGTTCCATCCTTTACAGTTCATAAAATAGTTTCAGAAATAGTCATGCTAGTTCTTCTTCAAAGTTCTGGTAGAATTTATTAGTAAAAACCATGTAGGCCTGGGTTTGTTTGCTTGTTTGGGAGGTGTTTTAAATTGCCTTTTCTATTTCACTGCTTGTTAGAAATGCGTTTAAGTTGTTTATGTGTTCTGCATTTAATTTTGATAGTTCTTATGTACATATGTATGGATCCTTCCCTTTAGATTTTCCAATTCACTGGACCATATGTATTGAAGGTATGCAATAATGATCTTCTAAATTCTGTTGGTAGCTGTTGTAATGTCTCATTTGTGTGTGTGTGTGTGTGTGTGTGTGTGTGTGTTGTTTGCCCTTGTCTTCATCAATTTGTATATTCTATCTCTCTTTTTTGGTTATTTGACTAAGGATTTAACAATCTTGTTTATCTTTTCAAAGAAATAATCTTATTTATACACTTCATTACTCTCTGACTTTAATTTTTTCTATTCTCTGGTTTGATGCTTGGGTTTGTCCTTGCTTTCTTTAAAAAAATTTTAAGGTCTTATTTTATACCAGGAAAGAAAAAGGCCTGAGAGAATCCATCTATCACTCCCATAGGTCACAGCAGCATGTAATATAAAGGGGCAGGGTTTCTGCCTTTTGGATTATATCACTCCACTTCAGATGCTGATTGGTGTTTTACTTATCTGACACACATGTGTGAGCACACACACACACACACACACACACACACACACACACACACACACACTTCTCAGCTCTCATTCATGTAAGTTCCTAAACCCTATTATAGATAGAAATAGATGGGAATCATTGTGTGTAGAGTCTCTGGAGATTTCAGATATGACAATGATCTCTCCCGTTGGGTCATTTCACACCTAAATGAGGTTGGCTCTGGCTGTGGCACCATCATTTGCCTCACTGACTCCTTTTCAAGGCTGTTTCCTAATTTACATGGCAACAGCTCAGCATCCTTCTCCCACACCCTTCTGTATCTCTCAGGAACCAAAAACATGCGGAGACCAGGGTAAAAGCTGATCTCTACTCTATCTACTCCCAGAACTGAATGTCCCCAAAGTAGGTAGTGGTTCCTGTGATATGCACCTATGAGTGTGAAGCTCCATCTCCTGAGTGTTCCCTACTATTTTCTCCCATGCATTTGCACAGCAACAACTCAGAAGGAGCTGGTGGTAGTGTTTTATTGAGAAAAGGGTGAATGATGGGCTCCACAGTGATGCATTTGAAAAGCAAGTAGAAGAAATCAACAAGGGACTAGCCACTTAGGTGTGCAGGGTCTGTCTGCAGCATTCTTCTCTACTGATCTCTTGGTGCTAGCATTCTGAAGAGACATCCTCTGGAGCTGGGATCCTCTATCTGAGGAAAGGGGAGCTAAAGGAAAAGATAGATCAAGGGCAAATAACACAGTGTAGCCTGGCATAGCTCTTCAGGCATGGTAACAGTTGAAATGTGTCACAGACATCTTGTTTTGCTTGGCCACAGTGTTGATCTCGAAATTGCAGGTTATTCTCTACAAAAGGGGAGAGAGAGGGACAGTCAGTTTAGGTTATAGCCTGAGGTGTCAGGGTGGAGTGGGAATGGTAGACGTAAGACAATCACACCTCTCTATCACTTCTGTTAAGTCCCAAGGTACTCAGACTGTGCAGGGTCCATTCAACATTTCTCTCATCGCTGCCCATCCTTCAAATGGCACATGTCCCTCACTCTAGCGGCTTATGGGATTCTGTATCCCCCTTCCTTAGCATAGCTCTGTAAGGAAGAGCTCATAAATGAGGCACAGAATCCTCAGAGTCATTCCAGAGAATAAGACTCAGTGTCTCTGGGTTCCTTCACTTCCAGAACCTAGACCAGCACTAAGAGGGTCATGGATTGAAGAACCAGGGGTGTGAAAACTTCTGAAAATGGCAGGGTATAGGAGGGGTCACAAGAAGAATGCAGCTCTCCCCAGAACTGTAGTACTTCAAAACCAGCCTCATTCCTGGAGAGATGAGGAACATAAGGGGCAGCTTTGGAGCATTTCACCTAGAGGGCCATCGTCCCTTCAGAAAATTTCCTTCTCTCTTGGAACTACTCCTGAAGCTGACTATACAATTTCAGCAGGCAACATTCCTAAAGTTAGTACTAACTCCTAAAGCTAGTACTCTGATTCCCAGGGGAAATTCACTGAGCAATTGGAATTAACAGTATGGCCAAATATACTCACTCCTGTACCACCTGACATCAGAAAGGATTTGTATCAGCATAAACTGATACCACATAATTCATATGTACCTATTCCATAAATCATCATACCCTATAACACATGCATACTTACACACACACACACACACACACACACACACACACACACCTTTTCTCATATAATTATATAACTTCACACAAACCATCCCAGATGCATGTGCACTCATAAACCTGCAGGTTTGCACACACCCCTCCCTGCAAGGTAATTCCCCATCTTGCATGTTTTGATCCATGTGCATACCTTCTGCTGATCTGGCTGTTCATTGAAGGGACAGTCAGACAAATCAGACTGGGTTTTGGTACATGTAGTTCGGCCAAACTTTATTTTCACATAGAAGTTTTTCCCAGCCACTACCTATAGTGAAAAGATCAGGATTACATATATCTCACCAGTCAAGTTCGTATGCATGCAGTCAGTTTACATTACAGAGTTAATGTGTTCATAGTTCCATCCATGAGCTTCTGGAACCCAGAGCACACTAGCTACCTTTCAATAGGGGAGCACAGGCTTATATCATAACTCATTTCCTTCTGAGCAACTCTGTGGTGATATTTTATTTGTACTGAAATGTTATTTTAATTTTATGTTAATAAATAAAGTTGCCCTGGGGTCAGAGCTATTAGAGCCATAGTGAGAGCGTGGTGGTTAGAAGAGCTA